ATCATATGAAAACGCTCTCAGCAGACGACTGGGACGATCGGAACGATCTAAGGCTATCCCACAAACCATCAGCCTTATTAATCAGGAAAAAACTCGGGCTGGACGCAGCTGAAGTAGAAAAAAAATTAAACAAAAATGTTCCCACCGAGTGGGCGCTATTTTAGGGCGCTATTTAAACAAAAAAAAGGCCGTTCTATCAAGTTTTCGAGGTGACGTCACTATGTCTTCGTGGAACTCTTCTACGCCGAGAGAAAAAGCGGATGGTAAGACACGAGGTTTGCTCTACGCTTAAAATCCACCATTATATTCGGCTTGTTTGCGAAACACGCGCAAAAATTCCATCGTCCGACCCAGAAACATCGCTGACCACCAGGCGCTTCTCGTTTTTGGGGTGATCGAGGCGATTGTTTGGAAATTAAAACGTCCCAGTCGTTCGGATCGTCTCGAAATTTTTTGAAACGACTGTGGCGATCGGGACGATCATATGGAAACCAGGGCTTAAGTAGTCTAAAGTGACAAAATTAAGAACAGATCCAGAGGATCCAGAGGATCGAATGGGGAGCGTATGGCTCATTTCTGCTCATTTCTCCTGTAAATGGTTGCCACAAAAGTGACGGTAAATCATTGCAATAAATATTTTTAGCAATTCGTCCAGGAATTTATGTGATCTTTTGTTAGCCTTACCCCAGTCTCTTTCTCTAAACGGCCGTTTCCTGTTCCTGTTTAGTATAAACGGTATTTTGTTTTAAGTTAAAATAACTGCCTTTCAGCAGTATTTTAGGACACTTCTGAATTGTAAGATCATGATAAAAATTCAAAAGAGAATAAGAATGAAGCCATTTGTACACGCTGGGAAAGAGAAAGTAACGTATATATACGTCGTTAACAAGATTAAATAAGACCTTATTTAGCTGTCACTGAAAGGTACATTGTTACGGTCGACCAAAGGGGCCCACAATCCTAAGTCTAGGTTGTTATTACGCATATCTGACACTTCGGTAGCCAGCATTCGTCACTGGACTTCCACTTAGAGGAGAATGCATAGAACGCAATCTGATCACGCACGTTGGTACCCTTTATCACTCATCAGCTGATCGCGCGTGTAATTGGACCTTCACGTGAAACGTACGCAAAGCACCAGCCTTTGGCACACGATCAGAAGCCTGCAAATCCCCGCACTCCCTAACCTTTTGTTATGACTAGTATTTATCTGAAACAAATCGATCGATAGATATTTTTAGCTTGTTTGCTTTGTGTTGCCAATGAAGGTCTCAGGGCAATTTTACTTTCTAATTGTAAGAATAAATACTATTAATTTACATTATCATATTCATGCAAATATTTTCCGTTTCTGATTGGCTCAAATCCCGCGGCTTATTCTTCATAACCACCTAGTGTGGACGAAGGAAAAAGTTTGCGATATAGGATAAAATAAAATAACATCGCCAGAAAGGACAAGAAAACCGAGAAGCCCTGGGGACGAGATTGCGTCATCTCAGTTCTTTTGGTAGAGCTGGAGAAAATGGGGGGAAAATCCTGATTTCATGCGAAACTACAACTCAAGGGACGACAACTGCTATTTGAAGAATGGGTTCCTGACATCTCTTTGTAATCTGAATTTGCCCAAAAAAAGACAAGACGGGAACTAAGCTTAAAGCATGTTTTAAAGTGCGCATTATTTTTGTTCGCGTTCAATTGGCCTGACAATAGGAATTTCGATTCTATCATCTCAGATTTTCTTCAACATGACTCGAAATTAAAACAATTAAAAACTCTCGGTTATACAGTGTAACGGATATTGATATCGTTAGACACATCTTACAATAACTAAATTTCAATAAATCCACAGCAAAGCTCAAGAAACAGTTAAAAAGCCATAATCCTAATTTATGATGTCTCTTGTGGTAACTCTTTCATTTCTTCCATTCACAGTCTTTACCACCGCCGCCACCATTATCTCATCACCACTGCTTGTCCAGTTTGGACTGCGTAAACACTAAGAATCAATAGATCGTCTTCACTGTCACACAACAAAGACATAAATTGGAAACCGTTCAGTGGAAGAAGCCAAGAAAATGAGATGTTATAAAAGACTAATATATGAACAATTTGTCCAAGTCTCAGGTCTTTGTGGCTCACAGTTTCTGAGTTATTTGCCGAAACGTTTCACGCACCTTTGTAGAGCTTTGCATGGAGACGCCATATTGGTGTACCGTTTTGGTGCACCAATATGGCCGCCGGAAATCAACAAAAACATCTGGAGTTCACTTTGCTACGGGACTGGAAACTTGTACAAAGACTTATTTTTTGTCTATCTTCAACCTAGTGTAAATAAGAATTCGTAAAACCCCGCTATTTTGACTTTAGAATTTGATGACATCACTGTGAAAACCATCTATAAACAATACGTAGCAAAAAAACTCATTATTTTCAATAAGTCGACTGATACGTTAATGAGCTTCCTGGCTGTTTATAGACGCGAAAGATCTCACACTAAGGTGGCCCGAACCTATTTATATGCGCGTTGGTTATGTTTTGATTTGCGTTTTTCAGAATGAAAGATTCAACCGATTTCTATGATTTTTGACATCCTTCATTAAATAATGATGGAACTTTAAGAAAATCTTATTTATTTTCTTGTAGTTATAAAAACCTTTGAGATATCGGCATACTTTTACGAAAAATGTAAATGATTTTGAAACCCCACGACGGATTTTTCCCTAACTTCAGCAAATAAGCCTCAGAGCTCTCTAGTTTTATATCTGCAAGTTCAGTTTGAAGGTAATCGTGACCGTAGAACTCGCTGCACAAAATATAATGCTGGTCAAATTTAACCTTAAAATGCTACGCTAATTACACATTTGTGAAAGTTGACGCACAAATAGAGGAAGACTGCCGACCGGACTATCTAGTCCTATCTGAAAGGATGTTCCCACCTAAAGCTTTATTGCAAGAAACAGAGTAATCAGAAACTTATGGCGAATACAGTTAGCATTTTAAGAAGAACAATTTTAAGCTAAGTAAGCGGTGATATTAAAGAACTTCTATTCATCAAACTTACTTTCTATTTGTCCCTCTCTTTTAGAACAAAGCAAATATAGCTTCTAAGAAAAACTGTCAATCGTTTTTAGCGTGGCAGGTTCCCGTTTTGAAGAGAAATAAGGCCACCAACTCCAGTACTTCTAACCATCCATTTTTCAGCTGCAATAGAAACCCTAGAATTTGGTTATTTATTCACCCCTTCAAGACTTACCATCACATTCGATTCGCACGGGCAATATACTGTTTGGGATAATGAGACGAATAAGACGATTGTCATATTTGTCTTCATCTTTATTCCCAGTGAACGTGTCGCTATGGCTTTAAAGTTTTAAAAGTCTTTGTATAACTGATGTTGAGCAATCGTCTGAGACGAGCTTGTAAAAACACCTGCTATTGGTGTCTGGTAATGCGTCTCGTAGGAACTATACGGAGAGAGTTAACTGTGCTGTTTTGGAAATGACTCAACCAGGTCGCGAATCATAGAGAGGGAGACCTAGAAACCCCAAATCAGATCACAATATAAAGTCATTTATATAGTATTATGTGAAGAGAATTGCAGTCAACGCAATTAAATATTGTGCATACTGGGCATATCTGTCAATTTTACGTAAATGAAAAATCACGTTAGATTTTATAAAAATTTAATAATTGCATATATTGGTTGTTATACTTTGCTATGCCTTGTAAAGAGTTGACTGTGATTTATCAAGGAAATTTACATACAGAGTACTCAAAGCACTTTATTTTGTATTTTTTGGTTAAAAGAACGCAACTTTGTCAACTGACATTTCAAAGCAGGTTGCATTCTGTTGACTAGAGGTATTCTTCTTATCTGACTGTTTAAACAGTAGTTAATTATATAAAAGATAATAAATTAAAGATTTTTGAAATTTTTGAATAAAAAAAGGCTTCTTTAAACGAAAATTTGGTAATAAAGTTGTGTAACTGCGTTCTGACTTAATTTATCTCAAGGGAAATGTAACTGATTAATGTATCAATAGCTCGTAAGGCATTAAGTCTTTTTTCTCTTTTTCCATTAAAAAAGAATAAACCTACATGAAGATGAGCTGGCTACCTTTTTAACTTATTATATAAAAGGCTTTAAGAACAAACGCCGGAAACACAAACAGGACATAGTATTTGGTAACATTAACGAATCAAACTTTATCGTGGTTTATTTTGTTGGGTTACCGCACCTGTTGGAAACTGAATTTTTTTGACGCCAAATTAAGAAACAATGATGGTGGTGGTGGTTATAATGCAATGAATTTTTCGGAAAAGGCTTTGTGTTAGAGAAAAAAAAAAACGTTCTATCAGCAAGCTCTGAAATGGCTAAAGCTTTCTAACATCCCACGGAGATTACGTAAAGAGGAAGCCAGAAGGAGATTACAATTAAACGCATTTTTATTGAATGTAGGAAAATGTGGGAAGAAATGATTTGCATAACTGTAGAAATTATAGTACACAGATTCTACATTCTTCAGAAAGAAATACACAGACGGCTTTCCACCAATCTTTTAAACGTTTTAAGATAATACTTTCAAACTGATTGTCAATCTAATTCGGCTCAAGTCTTAAACATTCGTCACTCACATTTATGTATGCATTTTTAAAACGTTCTCGTCAAAATTTCGCCGACGCAATGTACAATCAAAAAATAATGACACCTCAAATTCAGCCCACAAGTGTTGCGCATTGATTTTAGCGTGTTTATTATAAACATTTCGGTGAACTACACCATTTTCAGTGCCCTTTGAGCAGTACAAAAAATTAATGAAATCTATTTTTCCGTTTTGCAAGTCTGATATGCGGTTCTAATCTATTTTATCATTTGGTAAACTGGAAATTTGGTGAAATGAACCTCCCCTTCACTATTTGACTTTACTATCCAAGACAAGTAAACAACTCAACTCTATTTCTTTTAACAGACTGCTGAAGACAGGACTTCACCTGCCACCATGAAGGCTTACACGATGACATTAGTCCTCATGTCAGTGCTTCCGCTTATTGTTAGAAGATCTGATGAAGCTGAAGAAAAAGAGAAGTAATCAGACCCTTATACAAATCTATGTTTAAAGACAATTTGACTTAAACTTTGCCTGTCAGGGACAAGGGCGAGTACTGCGAAAATTTCCTTGAAACGAAGTTTTAATCTATCCTCTAGCGGTACTTTCATTATTTCGCTAAGATTACTGAAGGAAATTCAATTATTAGTCCCTAATTTTCTATCCAGGGGTTGGATTTTTCTTGTTCCATTTTCTCTATCGTGTACTACAAGCATTTTTAAGTCCGTGTTGAATGTTTCAAGTGAATTTTGAAGAATAGCAAAATGGGGTTATAATTAAGCGGCAACTATTCGACATGTTGTTTGTGTCAAAAACAGTAGCGATAGAGGAAATTAATATGGGTACAATCATAGCATAAAAAAACTAAAGGAAAGAGTGATTTCTGTCCCGCCTTATTCTCTATTTCGAAAAAGAAAAAATAAACTGTTCATCTCTTTTAATTGACAAAAAGAAAGCACAATTAGGTACTAAATGATTTTGAAGTAAAATGACGCCAGTTCGTTTTTGAGTAACCTGATGAAGTGATCTCTTTCATGCTGTTAAGTAGATGGCATCGTTAGCAGGATAGAGTTTACAACTCGAAGAAAGGCAGAATATTTAATTTTTTGTGACTGTATGCCAGAAGAAGCCTCTTCAAAACGTTTTGGCCGAAAAGAGAAATAATGTCAAATTTTTCAAGGAAATTGTGACAATATTGATCTTGCTCAGTGGTCTGAACGGTATAAGGCCAAAAAAGGTCAGCGTAGAGTGCCAACTTTAAGCCGTTTTACTATTCGGATCAGTCTTTGATTAAATATGTTTTTAATTTTTTCAAATAACTAGGAAAAATGTAAAGGATAAAACTTTCATGGAATGTTGACCATGTTATGGCCAGCAGACGGGAGGTCAAGAGAAATATGAGATCACAAACTAAATTGTAACGTTAAAAACTTGCAGTTCATTTATTTCATTGGTTCGTTAAGTGGGCAAAATATAATATTATCGGCTAGTATTTTCTTCTATACCACTAAACATCTACCTGTCTTCACTAATTGAGAAAATACGAGGTCAAGAGAAAAATGACCTCAATGCACTCTTCTCGGAAGCCCAGTTTTGTGCTACTATGGCAGCTTGCTGCCTGCGTCGTATATTATAATCAGGTAGTTTTTCTCTTCATTATAGAACACTGGAAGACTATGCGAAATCCATGGAGCTGGCCTTAAAACTTTCACAGAAAATAAATGAAGCTTTAGCAGTACACGACAAGAAGGTGCGACCAAACGCAGGAGGTAAGAGCAGCTTGTAATTAGTATTCACAGCCGCGTTCATCGACTCAGTTAAGCTACCCTTGAGGAGCAATTTTATGTTCTACGATTATTCTTTGATTCTCGTTGTCACAGCTTCGACATTCTAGAGATGAATTAAGGAGGAGAGAAATATAGAGTAAGTGCGGACCCAAAGGACACAAACTTTCAGTCTAAAAGGGGATCAAATTAAAAAAACGTACGTTTCATGTATATGATTTCTCTCACAGGTCCACCAGTTATGGTTGATGTAGAATTCAAAATTATCTCAATTGGGGAAATTAAAGAAGCTCAGATGGTAAGAGGCACTCTAGATTTGATTTAGTTTACATGATGTCGTGCGGTTACTCCCTGTATTGTTGATCATTTACATCAGCTTACATCTATCTTGCTTCTTCATAAGTTCGAAAGCAACCTGTAAACCAGCTATTTGCTTAAATTGTCATAATTATCATCATTATTAGTGGAAATTGCTATTATTATTTTTTTATGGAAGACTTTATAGTAAAATTATCGTCTTTTATAAAGTGCAATTATGAGCCCAATAGCCTTGGCAATTAAACTATGTATAAAAGCATTTAAAAAACAGTTAGGTTGCGAATAAAATGAATAATAAAATAGTAGAAATCAACGATAACCATTTAAAATGAAGATCAATATTTATGTAGTCAAAAACAGTCTCATCTATAGCTAATCTTCGTGGATTATTATCGTTATTATTATTATTATTATTATTAATATTATTATTATTATTATTGTTATTATTATTACTATTATTATTATTATTATTATTATTGGTTCTTATAGTTGGATAACAAAAATCATTAAATTGAATTGATTGCTGAGTGTGAGGTTAGCTTAATCTATTAATCCTGACCTTTTACCTATAAAGGAATACACAATGGATATATTCTTCCGTCAATGGTGGACTGACCCAAGACTGGCACATAATATGAGCACTCCTTTCAATATGGCAGGAGATGCAACTCAAATGATCTGGACACCAGATACGTTTTTCTGGAATGTAAAAGCAGCAAAATATCATGGGGTAACGCGAGAAAATATGAGAATAAAAATACATGGAGATGGCAAAGTCTACTTCAGCACGAGGTAAAGTGACCGGTAACGCTCATACATTTAAAACGTTATTGTAAATATTTATTATTATTATTATTATTATTATTATTAGTTTTATTTGTAACAGCAACACCTCGAGTAACTAATAAAACAAGCGTGTGCCTTTCCAGGGCTGGTTTCAGGATGAGTGGGATTTTAGCCAATCAGAAACGGAAAAATATTTTGATTGAATAATAATACTGATTCACACTTGGTCCCGAAGCTCAGGGATTAAAAAATAGAGAGATTTGAACCACCTGGTGAAGTATATTCTTGACTCTAAACTGGAAGCCAAGCATTGGCCTTGTTGCAGTCAAACAAACAAATGAATAAACAAACTCGGAAACCCTGCCCGCCCCATTGATTATTATAAGAGTTACACAGGTGTCAGTTTATAGAGGTTCTCAATGTCGCTTTTCTCACCTGGTTCTTAAAAGAAGCAGGTGTTGCTGAACTCTTAAAAAGCATACTTAGTTTGAACCATGCATATCAAAGGACCAATATATCTAATACTGTTTTTCCCATAGATGGTATACGTAGTATTTATTCTTGGAATAAAAAAATTGTCTGAATTTGTCAGGTTATAACTTCTGTTGTTTAGGGTGGCTCGACTGGATTTTTTTGGGAGTATACCTCCCAACTTTGGGCGTTTACCACGTGGCCATTAACAAAGATAACTCAAAAAGGTTACCTCAGCGACACTGTGTAAAGATGAAAGTTTCATATTTTTATGTATTGGCCTTCAACCTCTAAGTTGATTTAAGGTTTGACATGTATTCTGTTCTTTTTAGCATTACTTTTACAGCGCAATGTGATATGAATCTTCGCATGTACCCAATGGACATTCAAGTTTGCCCTTTAACTATAGAGAGTTGTAAGTACAATCTCTCTGTCCTAATAACCCTGGATTTATCACGTTTTTTCATGTCCTAAAGATTGTTTTATAGTAATAAACGTCTGAAGTGAAAGTAACTGCAGTCGTTTGGTGAGCCAATACTTTGCTTCCTGATAATTTAAAGTACGTTGATCGGCTTTTTAATTGTGTGTCTCAAATGAAACTCCTGTTATTATTTACTAATTTTTTCTCACGTATCAATAGGCCATTTCCGAGTTCCCCCGGGCCTCTGTTTCAAAACGAGGATAGGTGCTCAGCCTTTGATATGGAAATCATTTTTCATTCTCATGCAAGTAAAACTCATTTTCACAAAAATGGTTGTGCACCTGGCCTCATTTTGAAAGTAAGGGCTTTTGGAACTCGGAAGAGGCCTATTGCAAGCTTGGAAATGAGGACCATGAGCGTCAGTCTCTTTAAAAAGGCGACAGTCGATCAAATTATAAACACAACGAATGAAATCTAAAAAAAGACCGCAAGTCGACTACGCTGTGACACTAACACTTGTGATGGATCGACATGCCAACTTCAGCTTCAACGTTATTTGCACTGTGCAGATGAATTTATCTTACACATAGAGAAGATATAATTTTGTCACAGAAATGTACTCAAATATTGATAAACGGAAAAGCTAGAGAGGATGTGCACAGTGGCCAAAGGGGCCCACGTTTTCGAGTTGGCCACTGTCATGTTTGAAATCTAATCTGTGGCTGCCCTCGAAAGTCGTACTTGGCATCCGAAGGAGTTTCGTTGTTATTCACAAGAAAAAGAGAAAAACTTAAATCGTCAGATCTTTTCTTTATATCCAAATAATCTTTAACTCTTCAGTTCTTCAGATAACAACTGAGTCTGCCTTACACGATACGGATGAGCGAAGGATTACATGGATTGTAAACCTAAATCACACATGTGATAAACAAGAACATGGCGGCAACTAGCACGAGTCCTTAGCAAAATGGTAACAACCGCTGACCATAAATACTGAAAACTTCTTACTACAGCACTGCTGTAGTAACATAATCAGAAAAAACCAAGATTTATATTCGTTAAGATAAACGGGCACATTACTAGGATTAAATTAGCTGCAAAAACCGTGGACGAAGATCCTGCTAGTTGTAAACGTTGGATCTCTAGAAAAGAGATCAGATCAGCCAAAATATAAAGAAACAAGAACAAGAAGTCCAAAGACTACTGCAAAGCTGATTAGGCAAGCATAATCTACAGTAAATATTATACTAACTGAAGCATAGCTTNTTTTTAGCATTACTTTTACAGCGCAATGTGATATGAATCTTCGCATGTACCCAATGGACATTCAAGTTTGCCCTTTAACTATAGAGAGTTGTAAGTACAATCTCTCTGTCCTAATAACCCTGGATTTATCACGTTTTTTCATGTCCTAAAGATTGTTTTATAGTAATAAACGTCTGAAGTGAAAGTAACTGCAGTCGTTTGGTGAGCCAATACTTTGCTTCCTGATAATTTAAAGTACGTTGATCGGCTTTTTAATTGTGTGTCTCAAATGAAACTCCTGTTATTATTTACTAATTTTTTCTCACGTATCAATAGGCCATTTCCGAGTTCCCCCGGGCCTCTGTTTCAAAACGAGGATAGGTGCTCAGCCTTTGATATGGAAATCATTTTTCATTCTCATGCAAGTAAAACTCATTTTCACAAAAATGGTTGTGCACCTGGCCTCATTTTGAAAGTAAGGGCTTTTGGAACTCGGAAGAGGCCTATTGCAAGCTTGGAAATGAGGACCATGAGCGTCAGTCTCTTTAAAAAGGCGACAGTCGATCAAATTATAAACACAACGAATGAAATCTAAAAAAAGACCGCAAGTCGACTACGCTGTGACACTAACACTTGTGATGGATCGACATGCCAACTTCAGCTTCAACGTTATTTGCACTGTGCAGATGAATTTATCTTACACATAGAGAAGATATAATTTTGTCACAGAAATGTACTCAAATATTGATAAACGGAAAAGCTAGAGAGGATGTGCACAGTGGCCAAAGGGGCCCACGTTTTCGAGTTGGCCACTGTCATGTTTGAAATCTAATCTGTGGCTGCCCTCGAAAGTCGTACTTGGCATCCGAAGGAGTTTCGTTGTTATTCACAAGAAAAAGAGAAAAACTTAAATCGTCAGATCTTTTCTTTATATCCAAATAATCTTTAACTCTTCAGTTCTTCAGATAACAACTGAGTCTGCCTTACACGATACGGATGAGCGAAGGATTACATGGATTGTAAACCTAAATCACACATGTGATAAACAAGAACATGGCGGCAACTAGCACGAGTCCTTAGCAAAATGGTAACAACCGCTGACCATAAATACTGAAAACTTCTTACTACAGCACTGCTGTAGTAACATAATCAGAAAAAACCAAGATTTATATTCGTTAAGATAAACGGGCACATTACTAGGATTAAATTAGCTGCAAAAACCGTGGACGAAGATCCTGCTAGTTGTAAACGTTGGATCTCTAGAAAAGAGATCAGATCAGCCAAAATATAAAGAAACAAGAACAAGAAGTCCAAAGACTACTGCAAAGCTGATTAGGCAAGCATAATCTACAGTAAATATTATACTAACTGAAGCATAGCTTAACCTGGGAGCTCACTCAAGCGCTCATTCATTCCGTGTGATGGGCTCCTCATTAGTGATAAGAGATATCTTCCACGTTTCAGATGCACATACCACAAAAGATGTTGATTACCGATGGAAAGGAGGCAAGTCACAGGGCGTTGAGATTTTCTCCAAGGAAATGGCTCAGTTTGAATTTGTCGGTGCCAAAACGTCGACTAAGGCAAACACCAACAGTAAAGGCAAGCAATTTTAATCAGTTAAGATAAAATTTGTAGCATTTTCGTTTAGGTCATTTGGCTCTTTATTTTTTAAATTTGATCTTACGGACTTTAAAATTAGTTATTCTCTACATGCACAGACTAGCGTTTGTCTTTTTGTCTGTAAATAAAGGATCCTTTACTAGTCTGCAAGCATTTTTTACCTTCAAGAGACGTGTGTCGTACTTCATTACCACCACCTTTATGCCAGCAGTGGTTCTTGTGATTCTAAGTTGGTGCTGCTTTTGGATCGACCGTTCTGCTGTTCCGGCACGAGTAGCTCTCTCCATAACAACTATTCTAACTACCATTTTGCTGTATGGCTCGGTCAACTCCAATATGCCCAAGGTAATTTTACTGAAATAGCAAACAAGAACATTAAGGCAGATACTGCAATAAAAGATAAGCACTGCGAGTTTGATAGAACCCAATAACGCAGTGACACGATCTGGGGCGTACGATACGCAGTGTTAGTTCCCCAAGTAAATTCTGAGAGTCTGCAAAGTAGTCAAAGAAGCCCTGTCTTCCAGACATTTACCTCTAAATAGACATTTTAAAATTGTGGCCTTTTCCTATATACCCTGAAATTTTACCCCATAGTAGCGCCCCAATGAGTTACTTGGCACTAAAAGTCGCTGAGCGGGGAAACGTACTGTAGAATCTATCAAGAATCTATCAAGAATCTACCAAGTCACAGTTACCGGCGAATGTTGAAGCTCGTTGCAATTTACGTTATAAAAATTGTTCAATTCACATACTGAGAAGTTTTCTTCGTGGGATAACAGATTACTTTCAAAACTACTGGTCCCTCGAGAAACTTGTTAATTTTGTCTGCCGAGAACTTCAATGTTTCTCCAGGGGCCAGACATTATATTTAACTTTATTTAACGCCTTGTGACAAAAAAAAATATTTTTAAGAGAACAAGTTTTGTTTTTGCACAAGAATAAATTGACACGATAGGCACAAAAAGAAGGAAAAATATGCGGTTTTAGAAGTATAACTTGGTGTTTAAGGTTATAACTTTGAAGCGGTCACGGTTTCTTCTGACTCATCATCACTTTTAACGTCAATATCATGCCGCCTACAACAATACTCCCCGCTTCCTTTTTGGCGTATAGGTTCTAATGATACGTAATTACGCAAACACTACAGTTTTGTCATGTTGCTTCTTTTCTTTATCTCTATCCTTATTATCCTGGCTTTCTTGTGTGGCACAATTTAACGACGCGTGCATAAGCACTGAGATTATAAAGTGCGTTAGTCTGAACGTTCGACGCAAGTGAAAACAAGCCTTAATACTAATGGCTTAAATTTGGCTTTTTGGTAGGTAAGTTACAGTAAAGCTATCGATTACTTCCTGATGACTTCACTGGGTTTTATATTTATGGCACTACTGGAATACATCCTTGTGCTTAATACGGATCCACGTTTCTGCAGCCAAAGAAGAAAAGAAGTAAGCAATGAAAAGATGAAGTCATTATACAAGGTAACGTGTTGACTCTTTGAGCTCTTTTTAGACAAAAGAGCGTTTCCACATGACGTCATAGTGACCATATTGCTGTTCCAAAATAATGTCTTGTTCCAAGAAATTTTGCTTAAATGCTTTCCACGTGAGTAAAAACGCTATCAGAGTGAACACTTGAAATAAACGGAAGTTCTTCATTTTAGAACCTCTTTGCAGCCACTTAAAAGCAGTCAACATAAATGTATTAAATTTTAGTTGTAAAAATGAGTAATAGATGTTTATTTGTCCCAAAGACATAAAGCATAGCGTAATTTGGTTTGATTAGCTTGCTTACTGATGCTTTATTTTTTTGGGTCAGTTTGTTTCAATCCCATTAACTAATGACATATATCAAGAGAGGATAAAGGGGACAGAGAAGGCATCCCCCATACATACCGTATTCATAGGTAATTCTTCTCGAGTTATTTTTAAGACCACAGATCCCAAGGGGGATTAGACAACAGCCAATCACATAGCGCGAATGTGTTCCACGTGGATGACCCACGCTCAGAGCCACGCGTCCTTCACGAATTGACGCTGAAAAAATGGCACAAGAGTCGGAGAGCGATATTGCTATTCGTTTTGTCGACGAAAACGACTAAAGAGAGATTTCTACTAAAGCGGTGTCAGCGAAATGGAAATTAAAAAAGAATCGCCCTTCCTCTCTTGTACAGAGCTAACAGTACGGCAGGGAAATCCTTAGCACGCTGAATATTCTCTCAGGATCATTTATAATTTACAGTTTGAAGAGAGCAATTTGTGGTTTGATATTTATTCTTTTATTAGTCTTTTATTATTCAACAAAAATAACACTTGGCGTCCTACTTGCTTTATTGTACAAACGACCGGTTTCAATAGGGATCTCTTTTCTAGAAATCCAACGTTTACAACTAGCGGATCTTCGTCCACGGTTTTTGCAGTTAATTTAATCCGATTTCAATAGACCGGCGAAATTTCTCATTTTATTAAAGCACTGAGGTTACGACAACTTCGAGTTAAACTGATTTCACGGGTTGTCAAGGAGTCCAGCGATTCCCTTTTCCTAGGTGAGCGCCGACTCATTTCGCTTCAATATTCAGAAATGCTCTCGATCTCTTTACGCTTTCATTGCCTTTCGCCCGACATGTTTTGCACGGCGTTTAATCATGCGAAACCTCCACGAAACATCCACGCAGCGCGCGAGGTAACTTTATCCCGATTCTAAAAATAACTCGAGACGAATTACCTATGGAATAGGGTGTGTATGGGGGATGCCTTCTCTGTCCCCTTTATCCTCTCTTGTATATATCTAATACCAACATTCTTTTGGCAGGCAGCAATTCTTTTATTCCATTATTATTTAAAAAGTAGTTTAAGAATATGTTTAATCGATTGGATCATTTCTAGGAGATTCCTCCTGACACCCTTGTGGGCTTAACGGATAGACAGAACAAACCAGATGAACTTCCCATGACGCCTTTAAACGGAGACAGCAAGATGATTGACAAGGAGCCGCCCAAGACGCCAGAAAATGTTAAGAACCATTGGATCGACTGCGTGTCCAGAGTTGTTTTTCCAGTGATTTACTTCTCATTTATAATTTTTTACTGGATATACTACTTTAATCACCCTGATTCTGCGCTTAGTAACTAAGTGCAGGAATATCGTTTTACGGTTAACAGGACCTGGGTTGAGTTATGTCAAGAGAGGGTAACTTCCATGTAATTTTAAAAGTCTTGAATATGATAGATTAAGTGAAAAACTTTCGGATCTTTATGATCAACGAAAACGTTTCAGTTTCCACACACTCTGGCGGTAAGTAAAACCACAGGGATTGTGAGCTGTGATCCAAATTCGTATGTCATGACAGATGAATTTGATCACCAAGTAAAGACACAAGGCAACCGGAAAACACTTTCGGATTGAGCAATGAAAAAATAGCCTGCGTTGCAGCCGGCCCACACACTCGTTACTATAGTCCGTCCGTCTGCGAATTAGTGCACAAAAACTCGTTCTAATGTCCTGCAGAGTCGCAAGGACATATGTGGGCGTTTCTGATAGGCGGGTTTCTCATGAGCCTCACGATTGGCCTAATTCTTACGTGTGCGTGACGGTTGAGCGCAGGGACATGTCAAGGGAGTTGGCAAGAATTGTTTACAGTAAACAATGAAAGAGCAGGTCTAGCGTCAAAACAAAGTAGGAAATCATGATATTCATGGCCAAAAAAAAACTACACAAATGTAGCTATTCAGGTCCATGCATTTAGGAGAAAACGAAAGAGACTAAGGTTATTTAGCCACAATAAAAAAGCTTAAGGCTTTAACAGAGGTAAAAGAAACTGCATCCGTGGTCACATCTTGTCAGAAAACATTTGCCGAAACATAAACCACAGTAACTAACTACTAAATATGCATGAAACAGACCAGCTTCATAACCTCTAAATGCGAGACTCAGGGTGGCAAAAAAAAAAAATTGCTCAGTCAAAGTGTAGAATACTCCATGCACTGCATAAACTACGCAAAAGGAGAGCAAGAAAAACCTCTATTGCTCAAGCTGACTCTAAGGTCACGTTCCACACTATCACAAGCTCAATCCGCCGCTTGTCACGAGCTATAGTCGTGTTTGGCCTGTCAACACTTAATTCAAATCGGACTAAACCCAAAACGCGTAAGAAACTAGCCAATCAAAAACGTCGACATATGTCATTGCGACTCTGCGGGGTTCGAACACGATATTGTGGACTAATTCGCAGACACCATATACAGAAGGTTTAAAGCGTCTGCGAGGCAGGCAATGAAAAAAGAATGTTGACGAATACTTCTCTAATCAAATTACTGAATACACTTTCCTGTGCCCTGAAGCTAATATTTGTTCGTGAGCATTTTTTCATGTAAACCGGTAGGTTTGCGTTTGCAAACTTCATCTATATTTTCACTTTAGAATTATTATTTTATGAGTTTCTTTTTTCGCTTCCTTGGCTGCCACTGCATGGTAGTTCAATTTGGGCAATCTTAATTCTTGAAAGTTATGCCAGCCAGCGTTTCAGAAAGCTGGTCCACTTAAGGAGACTTAAACTTTAAGCTTCGTTTTTACCTTCTGATGTGACAAAACGTTTGATTACACAGCACGTATCAAAAAAAATTTCCGTAAGCATGAAGGAAAACAAACATTGTAAGGACGTAACAAAAAGAAGGAAAGTAGTTTGTAGTTTGACTTACTGCATTAAAATCTAATGATAATCTGACACTCAATTCTCTAATTATTATTAAAACATGGTAACGACTATCAGTTCCTAAATATTTTGTCCTTTATTATCTATGTACAAAATTGTAATGTTAATAAAAGTACTTTCTTTTAACGTGAACTTTGTAAACACTGTTGCTACTTGAGAAGTCCAATGAAGTTGATCTCGCCTAGCTTCACACTGGATTCTGTTTAGTTTTATTTATAAGAACTAAGGAAAAGTCCAATAGGCCATTTCCGAGTTGCCCAAAGCCTTTGTTTCGAAGCGAGGCTATAAGTGCGAAGCCTTTGATAGAACAAAGAAAAACTGACATTTTTCGTTTGTTGTTTTACCTTCACAAAACATCACAAACAACCTTTTTAAGTAAGATTTGGCAAAGATTTTTCTTCCCAAGCCTTTATAAAAATATAAAAGATCAAACCCAATCCGTTTCTGAAATGACCGCGCGATTTTGACTAAAGGGAATGGAACGAGCTTGCTACAGCGAACTTGNCACATCTTGTCAGAAAACATTTGCCGAAACATAAACCACAGTAACTAACTACTAAATATGCATGAAACAGACCAGCTTCATAACCTCTAAATGCGAGACTCAGGGTGGCAAAAAAAAAAAATTGCTCAGTCAAAGTGTAGAATACTCCATGCACTGCATAAACTACGCAAAAGGAGAGCAAGAAAAACCTCTATTGCTCAAGCTGACTCTAAGGTCACGTTCCACACTATCACAAGCTCAATCCGCCGCTTGTCACGAGCTATAGTCGTGTTTGGCCTGTCAACACTTAATTCAAATCGGACTAAACCCAAAACGCGTAAGAAACTAGCCAATCAAAAACGTCGACATATGTCATTGCGACTCTGCGGGGTTCGAACACGATATTGTGGACTAATTCGCAGACACCATATACAGAAGGTTTAAAGCGTCTGCGAGGCAGGCAATGAAAAAAGAATGTTGACGAATACTTCTCTAATCAAATTACTGAATACACTTTCCTGTGCCCTGAAGCTAATATTTGTTCGTGAGCATTTTTTCATGTAAACCGGTAGGTTTGCGTTTGCAAACTTCATCTATATTTTCACTTTAGAATTATTATTTTATGAGTTTCTTTTTTCGCTTCCTTGGCTGCCACTGCATGGTAGTTCAATTTGGGCAATCTTAATTCTTGAAAGTTATGCCAGCCAGCGTTTCAGAAAGCTGGTCCACTTAAGGAGACTTAAACTTTAAGCTTCGTTTTTACCTTCTGATGTGACAAAACGTTTGATTACACAGCACGTATCAAAAAAAATTTCCGTAAGCATGAAGGAAAACAAACATTGTAAGGACGTAACAAAAAGAAGGAAAGTAGTTTGTAGTTTGACTTACTGCATTAAAATCTAATGATAATCTGACACTCAATTCTCTAATTATTATTAAAACATGGTAACGACTATCAGTTCCTAAATATTTTGTCCTTTATTATCTATGTACAAAATTGTAATGTTAATAAAAGTACTTTCTTTTAACGTGAACTTTGTAAACACTGTTGCTACTTGAGAAGTCCAATGAAGTTGATCTCGCCTAGCTTCACACTGGATTCTGTTTAGTTTTATTTATAAGAACTAAGGAAAAGTCCAATAGGCCATTTCCGAGTTGCCCAAAGCCTTTGTTTCGAAGCGAGGCTATAAGTGCGAAGCCTTTGATAGAACAAAGAAAAACTGACATTTTTCGTTTGTTGTTTTACCTTCACAAAACATCACAAACAACCTTTTTAAGTAAGATTTGGCAAAGATTTTTCTTCCCAAGCCTTTATAAAAATATAAAAGATCAAACCCAATCCGTTTCTGAAATGACCGCGCGATTTTGACTAAAGGGAATGGAACGAGCTTGCTACAGCGAACTTGCTAAAGCCTGGTTTCCATGCATATAATCATCCCGATTGTCCCAGTTGTCTCGAATAATGTTCAGACGATTGGAACGACCATACGGGAACACTGCCAGGACGATCTCAAACGACCCAGACGTCTGAGACGACCTCGATCGCTTGACTGGAATTGAGTTCTATCCAGACGATCGGGACGATCAAGTAAATTTTGAAGCGATCATATAAAAACGCTCTCAGCAGTTGACTGAGCCGATCGGAACGATCTAAGACTTTCCCAGAAATCAGCAGTCTTATTCCAGTAATCGGGAAAAAAGTCGGCCTGGACGCCGCTGAGGTTGAAAAAAAATTTGAAACAAAAATGTTCCCACCGAGTGTGGGCTCTATTTGAAAAAAAAAGTCCGTTCCATCACGTTCTCGACGTGACGTCACTATGTCGTGGAATTCTTCTAGCTCGTCGACGCCGAAAAATCGAAAGAAAAAGCGGACCGCAAGACACGAGTCCCCAGTCTCTTTCTCTAAAAAGCCGTTTCCTGTTCCCGTTTAGTATATCATATGAGTGTTTTGTTTAAGTGAAAATAACTGCCTTTC